AATAACAATGTTAATAATGATGATACTAATGTTAATAATAATGTTAAATAATGATACTAATGTTAATAATAAAATAATGCTAATAATGATAAAAATGCAGAGAACATATAGAACGTATAGATGCTACAGTGAGACGGGTGTTCAAGAAGGTAAACCCTCACAAGGCACCAGGGCCTGATGGCATCCCAGGACGGATGATATATAATATCACCCGTCCTGGGTGATATTATATGATAATTATTATTATATTATAATAATTAATAATAATTAATAATTATTATTCTTTCTTTGTTAAATCAGGTCTCTCTTGTAAACAAGTCCTTGAGGCTCAATGGGATTAACCTGTAGAAATAAAGGTTGAATTAATAAATATAATAATTAACAGTAATGATAATAATGTTAATAATATTAATGATAGTTACATGTTTACAACATAAATAATCTGTTTACAGAGTAAACAGAAGTTATAACTTCAGTCTTGAGCCAACGTTTATTCCTTTGCGACTCTTTCCAGTAAGAACAGAATAAAACGACGGCTGCTTTCAAACTTTTCAACTTCGTTTCTATTTTAAAATCAGTGTTTTCAGTTTTATATATAAAAAAGAAAAATATGATTTTATGTATTTATTTATGGGATAAAGACAAAAAACACAGATTTTTCCTTCCTCTAGCTTCCTCCAAACCTTTTAAAGTTCTGTAAAACGTTTCAGAGTAAGACGAACGGAGCCAACTTCTCTCTGCAGGAGTTCGTTTATTGAGGACAGCAGAGGACATCATAAAAGACACATCCAGGAGTTAGGACGAAGAGGACGGACACCTGATCACGTCAAACAGGGACACGGAGAAGACCACCAGACCAGGAGCGTCTCAGTCTACTTCTTCTTGTAGTCCTCCAGGTGAGCCAGAATCCAGCCTGAAGGACCCAGGATGGTGATGTTCAGGACAATCATGGCTATGGCCTGCTCCTGGGGACAAGGACAGAGATACTGGGACAGTCAACAACACGAAGGACATGGAGGACAAATGGACACAGCTGAGAAGGGACTGAAACAGTTTCCTGTTTCTGTCAGCAGCCGGTCTGGTATCAAAAATTAAACTTCTAACTTTTAAGAATCTGGAACACAAAGTCACGGTTTTATTTTTGTCCAGATGTTCGTCCTGGACAGGAAACCTGCACCTGTGGACATGTGCAGCTGGAGACACATGGAGACAGAGGACGCGGGGAGGCTGTCCTCCAGGATACCTGAGGCCACTTGTATGAAAGCATTCTGAACATCGGCGTCGGGACACAATGAGACGGTTCTGATTTATCAAAGTGTTTCCTTCACACATCTGGATGGACATGAGACTCCTCCTTTATTATCCTCCTGTAGAGTTCTCAGTGCTGTTGCATCTGAGCTGGACCCCACAGCTACTACTAGAGAACTATGTTCACCGTTGTACAGAAAAATACAATGATGACAATCTCAGACATCCACAAACACATGTAGACTGGATGGGCAAACTCCCATGACCTCTCAAGGACCCTAGTGAGGGTAAAGAGCTGGTCCAGAGTTCCACAGCCAGGAAGAAACCCACATCGTTCCTCCTGGATCTGGGGTTCGACCAACGATCGAACCCAGTTCTCCAGTACCCCTGAACAGACCTTACCAGGGAGGCTAAGGAGAGTGATGCCCCTGTAATTGTAGCACACCCTCCGGTCCACCTTTTTGAAGCGGGGAACCATCATCCCAGTCTGCCAGTCCAGTGGCACTGCCCCCGATGTCCACACGATGTTGCAAAGACATGTCAACTTAGACAACCCCACAACATCCAGAGCCTTAAGGAAATCAGGGTGAATCTCATCCACCCTCGGAGCCCTGCCGCCTCAGAGCTTTCTAACTACCTCATGACCTCAGCCACAGTTCTGGACAGACCAACCCTGAAGTCCCCAGACTCTGATTCCTCCATGGAAGACGTGCCGGTGGGATTGAGAAGGTTCGAGAAGTATTCCTTCCACCTCCTGATGACATCACTGGTTGAGGTGAGCAGCACTCCACCTTCACTGAACAGTGTTAGTAAAGAGCTGCTTCTCCTCCTCAGCTGCCTGATGGTTCACCAGAATCTCCTCAGAGCCGACCGAGAGTCTTCATCCAGGGTCTCACCGAACTCCTCCCACATCCGAACTTTTGCCTCAACAACAGCCAAGGCTGTGGACCGCTCCGGTACTCCTCAGCTGCCTCCAGAGTCCCACCAGCCATCAAGGACTGATAGGACTCTCTTGAGCTTGACAGCCCCCCTAACCGAGGTGTCCACCACCGAGTTCGAGGATGGACACCATGAGAAGCACCGACAACCTTGTGGCCACAGCTCAAGGCAGCTACCTCAACAAGCGAGGAGCAGAACATGGTCCACCCGGACTCAACGTCCCCTGATTCAACGGGGATGCAGTTAAAGCTCTCACAGTGTTGTGAGTTGAAGATCTTTCTGACGGGTTCTTCTGCCAGGTGTTCCCAACAAACCCTCACTACATGTTTGGGTCTACCAGGTCTGTCCGGCATCTGATCCAACTCACTACAGGTGGTGATCAGCTGACAGCTCCGCTCCTCTCTTCACCCGAGTGTCCAAAACAAACGGCCTCAAATCAGATGACACGACTAGAAAGTCACTCATCGATCTACGACCTCGGGCGTCCTGGTGCCAAGTGCACGTATGGACACCCTGATGTTGGAACAACCCGACCGGTGGACCAGAGAACAGCAGAAGGTCAACAGAAGGACAGAAGGTCAACACGTCAACAGAAGGTCAACAGAAGGACAGAAGGTTGACAGGTCAACAGAAGGACAACAGAAGATTGACAGAAGGTCAACAGAAGGACAGAAGGTCAACAGAAGGTTGACAGAAGGTCAACAGAAGGTCAACACGTCAACAGAAGGTCGACAGAAGGTTGACAGAAGGTCAACAGAAGGTTGACAGAAGGTCAACAGGTCAACAGAAGGTTGACAGAAGGTCAACAGAAGGACAGAAGGTCAACAGAAGGTCAACATGTCAACAGAAGGTCGACAGAAGGTCAACAGAAGGTCAACACGTCGACAGAAGGTCAACAGAAGGTTGACAGAAGGTCAACAGGTCAACAGAAGGTCAACAGAAGGACAGAAGGTCAAAAGAAGGACACAAGGTCAACACAAGGTCGACAGAAGGTCAACATGTCAACAGAAGGTCAACAGGTCAACAGAAGGTCAACAGAAGGTTGACAGGATGAACCTTTCCTTTATTAAATTAAATCTCCATCTGTTTTATATTGTAGCACTTAATATTATAATTATTCTCACTATCGACTTGTTCTTAAGTTTTGTCTCATTTCAGCAACTCATGTCTCAAAACGTTCAGCTCATTCCTGCTGTGGCTTTTGGTCATTGTGTGATTTTAACTTGTTTAAATGTTTAGCTTTGTCGGCCATGTTTTCCTCACTGAAAATGAACGGAGCTCTCTGCAAACTCTCTCAGCTGTTTACAGCCTGTTTATGCTCATTTCAGCTCCTTTTAGCTACTTTCTGCTCATTTCAGCCTTTTTTTCAGCTTCTTTCTGATAAATTTAGCTTTTTTCAGCTACTTTTCCTGTATTTTCTGCTGCTTTCTGGTTTTATTTTCCTGCTTTCATCAAGTCAGCTGTTCATCTTGAGCTGAAACTTTTCAGCAGAACTCTTTCAGGCTGAATTTTAGCAGGAAATGACGTTTCAATATTTTTATCATCATTATTTTAATTCTTGTATTTGTTGCTCGAGTTTAAAAAGGACTCGAACCCGCTGCCCGTCCGGGCACCGCTGCGCACCTGCTCCGCTTGTTTAACCCTTGCTGGCTCACGCGCTGACTGACAGCTGATGGGTGCACGCGCGTGCTATATTTATTAGGTGTACGTGATGGGTTTGTGCGGAACAATGGCGAATAATGACGCACTTAATGATTTAATGTAACACGGCGGTACCTTTGTTTATTATAAATAAATATAAAGTCATAATCTGGGTCATAATCTGGGTCATAATCTGGGTCATAATCTGAATAAAATCATAATCTGAACGATAAATGTCGGGAAGTTCGACAAAGTCCAGTCAGTAAAAGACGTCTGGGGGTCCACCTGCTAATTAGTTTGGTTTCGGTACCGGGGGAGGGGGGTCCTCCCTGCAGCAGCTGGACCGGCCCGGTTCCGAACTCACCCCTGCAGTGACGGTCTCCTTGGCGGGTTTAGTCGCCACCTGAGCTGCGGGACCGGTTCGGACCCTGAGGGCGCTCCTGAACAGACGGGACGCGGTGGGCAGCACAGGCATGGTTCTGGTTCTGGTTCTGGTGCTGGTTCTGATTCTGCTGTGCGGGAACTTTTCTGACACTGACTCTTTTCCTTTCAGTTCTCCTCCGCGTGCAGCGCCGCGCGTGACACCTCCCCCCTGCAGAGTTGCGTTGGAACGCAATCGGCGGCTCGGGTCTGCTCCTTTTAAATTTACCGGCATGTGATCCGGTCAACACAGATGAAGCCACATGGGTCCTTAAAAAAACAAACAAACAAAAAACTAGAAGAATCCATTCATTAATTCATTCAACCTTTATTATCCAGGTTAGTCTCGTTGAGTCACAAGGACTCATTTTCTACAGAGACCTGTTTTAGACAGTCAACAAATAAACGTATAAAGTGCAGACAACAATAAAGTACAGTAAAAGAATTCATCCAGAGAACCTGACTTAACCTTGTTAGATTTATCTACCTGGATAACTGAGCCTCGGTATGTATGAGCAGGCTCGTGGGCACAGTGAGCACGTCTTACAGTTGGATCTGAACCTTGAATTAGTGTAAACCCCGCCAACTCTGTGCGCCGCCTCGTCAGCTGGTATGTAAATGAGGTGAGCGGCGCAGGACGCGTCCTTACTTCACCCTTCTGGAGCAGCAGCTGCGTCATGCTCCACACATAGGCTCATATAGACACATATCTATGACTTTAATTCAAACTAAACACAGATTTAGAGTAAAAACTGTAGCAGTTGACATAAAGTGACATTTTGTCTACTGCAACAAGGTGCACGTGCAGAGTGAGCTAACATAAAAAGGGTTTCTTGCTGATTCTGGATCACCTTTCATCTGTACTTCTTTCTGCAGTCCAGCTGACAGCCGGTGTCTCCGGGGGGTCATTGAGTCTATAAGTCTGGAGTCGGTCACTGAGGGCTGATAATGATGCAACAAGTTAGACACACAAACTTATAAAACTTTTCAAACATGTTTAAAACTCCAGCGACACAAGAGTGAGGCCCTGCCACACCAGGTACTGGCCATTGGTCAGCAGTGGGGGCTGTCGTCTTTGCACTGGCTCTATGATTTGAAGCAGCCATCCCAAAATATCAAACACACAAAGTGTTTAGAGCAGCAGGTCCACTGGACAAGAACAAGGTCTAAAGAAAATACAGGAACTTCTGCAGTCAAAGGATAAAAATGATAATAACAGATTATGTTGGGATCATGCACGTTCACAGACCTTTCATGGACTGCAGGTATAAAAAAGTCTTCACCCTCCTTGGATGCTTTATGCTTTTATTGCTGTCAAAAATCAACCATGGTCAATATAAACTGAACTTGTTTACAAGCTCACACTTGTAAAGAATGTGGAAAACAGTTGTCGTACGCTCAGTCTTTGTCATCTCACCTGCTGAAGCTTGAAATTCCTTCCGAGCAGTCTAAGGTGTCGTGATGATCTCACAAGCTCAAGTTGTGTTTGTGCAGCGCAAGGAAATGCTTAAGATGACATGAACCGATTTGACTTGCTAAAAAATCAAAGAACAAACGAACAAGAACTACTAAAGGCAAGCAATAAGGGTACAAAATAAAGTACAAAAAGTGAAAAAATAATTATAATATTTATGCTGTCTTAAAGAGATTGAACAACAACATGGTAGAATACAACGATGCAAGCAGGATGGATTTAAATGAATATGTATTTCAAGGTAATATAAGCTAAAATGCACTATATATACTGTGTGTATACATACATATATATATATATGTATATATATGTATATATATATATATATATATATATATATATATATATATATATATATAATTAACATATACTAGGCAGGTTGTGTTATTGCACAGGTAGTGACATATTATGATGGTAAGTTAGATACATAGATACTGCATCATACATGATCCAGCCTAGTTTCAGCCACTCACTATTTGCTAAGGCCTTTTCCTCCTCAGCTCCTTCAACCTGGAACACCTTGCAACAGGAACTGAAGTGTCCACCTTGATTTATTTAAGGGGTTTTAAACATTTGATAATGTCAATAGAAAAATCAAGGCAAATACAGCACCTTGATTTATTGTTTTATACTCTTATTTTAACTGCATTCTTGCTGTAATTTATTGCTGTCTTTGTTTACTGTCATTGTTGTCTGTACTTTACATGTTCTGTCTGGAACAGGTCCCTCTGGTAAACGAGTCCTCGTGGCTCAGGGACACAGCCGGTACAGATAAAGGTTGAATGAAGGCTTCCTGCACGGTCACTCGGTTGGTGAGACGGCCTAGCTGCTCCTGGTAGATTGACACATGTCACATATTTTCCCATTTCTTGGTGATGAATTGAATGAACACTTAACTTTTCAATAATCTTTTCTCTGAGTTGCTTGGAGTGTTCTTTTGTCCTTGAGAGCCATGCGTCTGTGAAGTGGTTGTTTAGTTTCTTCAGTACAGAGCTCTGAACGTCCCTCGCTGCACTGAACTAATAATAATACACCGTTCAGTTTGGATTTGGGTTCTGTCCTTGGGGTGAACCAGCTTCTGTCTGAGAGAGCTCTTCAGGCCAATTTTTCACCTACGTTTCAAGGATAAGGGACATTCTTTTTGGAATAGTTACTAAATTTCTCAGAGACCTTTGGTCTACAGGTGACTTTGTGCCAAGTGCACTCATGGACCACTCTATGCTTGAACATAGTGTTTGTTATGGACAGCCCATGCTTAGAACAGAACTTGAGTAACAGAACATAATTTGGGACATTGAAGCCATTCCTCTGTCCAGATCTCCATCAAATAGACATTAAAGGCCCTCAGGAGAACACTGACATCCCCAGATGGCACCTTTTCCAAGACACCACCAAGAGACTCCTGGAATGCCAGGTTCTCTGCACATCTGGTGAATAAGCAGAAACAATAGACAGAAATGTCCTTCGTGCAGCTCAAAACCATGAAGAGACAACTTGTGTGTCAGGTTGGACGTAGGTGAGATGCCAGACAAAGACTGATTCAACACACTTGTTTGAACAAAGACAAACAAGGAAATTGATGTCCCTTGCCCGGACATGGGTTCCCGGGGCCCCACCCTGGAGCCAGACCTGGGGGAGGGGCTCATTGAAGAGCACCTGGTGACCAGGTCTCTACCCATGGGGCCTGGTTGGGCTCAGCCCAAACGAGTAACATGGGTTTGCCTTCCTGTGGGTCTACCACCTGCAAGAGGGGCCACATGAGTTGGGTCAATTGGGTGGTTCCTCTTCAGAAATGGGGACCGGAGGGTGTGCTCCAAAAGTAGGATAATCACTCCCCTTAGCCTCCCTGGTAAGGTCTATTCAGGGGTATTGGGGAAGCGAGTCTGATCGATGGGTGAATCTTGCAGGTTCCATCCTGGCCTTGGAACACTGGACCAGATCTTTACTCTCACTAAGGTCCTTGAGGGGACATGGGAGTTTGCACATCCAGTTTACGTTCTGTGGACTTCGAGAATGCGTTTGACCGTGTTCCTCAGGGTACATATGTCTACTTCTGGGCTTTTTATGTTTTTACATTCAATTTCTATTTGTTGTTAGTGTATATTTGTTAATATCACTGACTTCTTCTTTCAGCTGCTCCCTGCCAAGTGGATGTCCTTCCTGACACAACCACAGCTCACGAGCTACCGCAGCCCTCTGTGTGGAGCAGGGAGATGCTATCTAGGGTGCCTGGGGGAACAGATAGTGGGGGTTGAGGGCCTTGCTCAAGGGCTGAGAGTCAGGCAAACAAAGTTGGAGGCAGGTGTGGGTGCTTCATCTTTCCCACGCACATTTTTTTAAATGTTGTTGGTCCGGGGAATTGATCTGACAACCTTCACAGGCTCAGTGACTGTGGCCTCCTCTGACAAAAAATATGATAAATTATGTGTAAGTTTGATGTTTGTGCTCCCTTTGATCAAAGATTCTGGAAATAGCTATCAGTGTCTCACACATGCACGTCAGTTTCCGCCAAATTTATTTTTTAAACTTTATTGGTAAAAATGGTCCGTAACAAACACAAAAACGGTTTCTGTTGCAAGATGTTACAAAGTAAGAGTGTCGTTTATAGCCCATCTTTACATTAATCCTCAGTTGTGTTTTCTCATATGAACAGCAGAGTCCAACATGAAGTTGAGTCTCACCACATTCTGTGATGAAACGACCATCGTAAGTTTTTGTTTCCTCATAGTTATTAGGATTTGTGCTTACCCAGCTTTAATAGGTTGCACTGAATTTTAACAACACCCAAATAACTCAACCCGACAAGAATAAATTACAATTAAAACATTTCTGTTGGCCGGAACTGTTCAAGGCGGAGGGGACGTAATTTAACGTGACACCAGATCGGGGCGGCGGGGGAACACTTTGCACGTTGCACCACCTCTTCCTGCGGTCGGAGCCTGTTCATGTCAGAGGCGTTTTCTGTGAGAAGTGCCGTCACATCCCGGTGGAGACGACACGGTCGGTTCGTGAAGGTAAATCACCGCTGGTTGGCTGAACGTTCGGGACGAGCTCTTTAACGTCGAACAAAATGAGCTTCGTTATGTCGCCGCGGTTATTTTGATGAATGGTTAACGTTCCTGTCGAGTTGTGATGTAGCCGTTTGTTCCAGCAGGATGTAGCTTCCATGAGTCCACAGTCCACCTGCTCCTCCAGGCTCCATTCATGCCGACACTTACTGCACATTCATGTTTTCATGGAGGTTTTACTAAAAGTGCTGCTTCACGGAGACACGGAGTTTTATGAATGGAGCGTGGGTGCAGCTCTGTCCACGTCACGTGTCGAGTTTACCTTGAGGGCGGCTCTGCTGGGCTCAACACCTGCTTTACACCATCACATCCAACTCCAGACCAGGCCCAAGCACGGCCCTGGTTAACCTGCGAGACGTTTCATCCTTGAGTCTGAGGAGCCACAACCCTGCGAGACGTTTCATCCTTCAGTCTAAGGAGCCACAACCCTGCGAGACGTTTCATCCTTCAGTCTGAGGAGCC